TTTTGCCCTTCTTCTCTTTTCTGCTCCTTCATTTGGCCCGAGCCTCCGTGCTGTGTTTTAACATTCCCCCTTTTCACACTCGGTGCTCGATGTGACGTCACTCTGTCCCGACTCGTGTCTCTGGTTTGCTGTGACGTCGACTCTTACTCTGTCCTCTGTGTTGTGGCTGTGAGCAGATGTGCCTAACAACCTTTACAACTAATGCACAACCAGCAGTGTTCGTGTCAGACCTGTTCATCTAAAGATTCACGTCGAAAAGCTTTTTATTCATTTTTAATTTCAGGGATGAATCGGGTTCCGTCTGGTTCATGTTTTTCCTTCATTAGAAGTTCAAAGTCAGCCCAGTTTAAGATTAAAGAAGTAAAATATAAACCGGATGTTTCAGATCACAAAGTTTTTACTGAGCGTCCACATCTAGAAGCTTCAGTCAGAACGAACAGATAAAATGTTGGCTAACATTTGGCTTTTTTAGGACGGTAAAATGGTATTAGGACAAAAACAGGACGAGAAGAGACGAATGAACGACGCTGCAAGAGAACCCGACTAGATCTGAAGTTAAACAGCAACAGGAAGTAAAACACCAACCACCATGTTTGACTTTTTTTAATGCATGAAATCGACAAAACTGAAAGTCATTAAAGTTAAACAAGCAGAACAGTAGCTAAAACAACAGAATCCTAGCTAAAGTTAACAAACGGGTGCTAAATTTAGCAAAAATAGTAGCTAAAAGTGATTAAACATATGCTAAAGCTAAAATTAGTTAATCAGTAGCTAAAAATAGTTGAGCATATGCTAAGGCAAAACTGCAGCTAAAGGCTTAAAAAAGTAAAACAATAGCTAAAAGAAGCAGAATAATAACTAAAAGCTAAGTATGACATGGCTACTAAAAGCTATTACTAGCTGAATGGTTCCTTTGTGCTAAAGCTAGTTGAATTTTAGTTAAATGTAGCAAAATAATGGCTGAAAGCTAATATTAGCAGAACAGTAGCTAAAAGTAGCAAAATCCTAGCTAAAGTTAACAAAACGGGTGCTAAATTTAGCAAAATAGTTGCTAAAAGTGACTAAATGGATGCTAAAGCTAAAATTAGTTAATTAGTAGCTAAAACTATTAAAGCATATGCTAAGGCAAAACTGCAGCTAAAGGCTTAAAGAAGTAAAACAGTAGCTAAAAGAAGCAGAGTAATAACTAAAAGTACAACAGGGCTGCTTTTACTAGCTGAATGGTTCCTATGAGCTAAAAGTAGCTGAACACTATGTAGCAAAATAATGGCTAAAAGCTAATGTTAGCAGAACAGTAGCTAAAAGTAGCATAAGAAGACAAAATATGAGCCAGTATGCTGAAGAAGTTTTTGATGAAATTAAAGAGATCCTAATGCATTTCTATGGAAAGTTAAATATTTTTGAAAACTTTAAAAGTAAAATAATAATAATAATAATAATAATAAAGGTAATCCTCAGTCATGATGAACGTTTTGATATTTTAATGGTTAAACTGGCGCAAAGCACGCAGAACTAGTTGGCGTCCAAAAATGTACCGATTAAACAATAAACAGGAAACGCTGACTCAGCATTCACTTTATTACTAATAACTACTAAACACAGTTTTTCCATGTACTTTAATAAAACAAAATAAATAAAGGCCTGCATTTACGTGGCGAAGTTCAGTTTACCATGTTTGTTCTATAATTGTGGGTTTTTATAAACTTGTCACCGCTCGTGATGCCTTGTGTGACATTTTGTTTTTTACACGTTAAATAGTTTTGGGTTTAACAGATGCTTCCTGCCACATTTTGCTTCAGGTCCTGATACAGTTCACTTGTTCACTGAACTCCACACACAAATGATGAATTATACAAACTTGTTTTGCTTTTCTTTAAATTGTGTTTTTGTTTTGTTTAGTTTTAGCTCGTGCTTTTACCCTCTTTTTGATTCGGTTTTGAGCCGGGCTGTAACAAACGGAGGCTTGCCCGGGATTCAAACCCGGCACCTCTCGCAGGATTGACGAGCTAATGATTAGTCCGACAGCAGCTAAGATGAAAGTAGATTCCTGCCGTTTTAAAACGAGTCCAATCCTAAAAAACATCATCGTGTTTCGTTCCAACGCTTTTAATAAACACATTGTTATTAATTTGGTTTACACTGATTTTTTTTATTACGTATAAATCTGTGGTGGTTTTTTTAGCTCGCTCAAGCAGCAGCAGCAGGCTGTAGCACTTCCTGAGCGCTCGGAGGTCATATATCCAGCCGCTTCAAAACCTTCGAGGCTGACGCCATTTTAAAACGGCAGCGACTCTCTTTGGTCTTGGCTGCGTTCAGACTAGCCATTAGCTCGTCAGCCCTGAGTTAAACTGCGTCTCCAAGAGGAAGTCGTTTGAGACACTTTCTGCGAGTTGTTTACACAGAAAACCTTCAAGATGGCCGAACTCTGCGTAGCTTAAATTTTAAATGTTTGGGCTCCGAGCACATTTAATGGAAAGCAGCAGTTTGTCTGAGCTCGTCTGGCGCAGCCCGTTCATTTTTTGTAGTCTTGTTTTTTGATCAATCTGCTGTGTGGAAAACTACGGAAGAGGATCAGGGTGCAATAATTTTTTCCTCTTAAATCTGAGAAAAAAAAGTCAGAATTACGAGATTAAAGTCAGAACCATTGTTCTAATTCTGACATTTTCTCAGAATTAAGAAGAAAAAATGTCACCGTGGCCCTAATCCTTTTCCTTAGAAAACAGATTGAAACATAATTTAATTTAAAAGCAGCCTCGACCCAAAGCTTCAGTTTACAATCTGCATTTTTATTGAGATTAACTATGAATAACTGAAATGAACTTCACTTAATGACATTTCTTTTATTTTTGACATGGATCTTTATAAAGGCTTCACGCGTTTTTATCTATTTAACCTGCTTATATTATTAAAATAAATTACCTTTTCATCATTTAATAATTATTTTCAAAGGCTTCACACGTTTTTATCTATTTAACCTGCTTATATTATTAAAATAAATTACCTTTTCATCATTTAATAATTATTTTCAAAGGCTTCACACGTTTTTATCTTTTTAACCAGCTTATTATTAGAATAAATTACTTTTTCTTCATTTAATAATTATTTTCGGGAGCTTCACATCCACTAAGGCTGAGCTTGAAAGCTGGTAAAAATCGATCTCATCCCACTGGTTGACCCGAGACTTCCCCTCACGTTCTGGTTGTAAGGAGCGGCCCTTCCATTCCTCTCATTGTAACGTGACCCCCCCACACCCCCACCCAAAGGTGCCCCATTCCACCAGAGTACCTCATGTGCCATTTTGGCTGCGATGGGACATGGTGAAAGCCATTCCTGAGCCACGTTTCCCTCCGGGACCATTGCGTGTTGGCCTGCACCTCCCCGGTGGTGAGACCTCACGTGTCCTCCTCACAGTGTCCACTCTGTTTGTCCACAGCCCCGACGAAGACTCCTGTCAGAAATTTGTGCCATTTATCGGGGTAAGAACTTCGTCTTCCACATAAAAGTACCGAACACCGAGTCATTGTTCCGTCAGTGAAGTCATGTTTATTTTGCAGGTTGTGAAAGTTGGGATTGTGGAGCAAAGCCTCTCGACCTCAAGTAAGAAACGTTTAACGGGACACAAAATAAAATAAAAAAAACTCTGACCCGTTGGTGCCGTTTGCTCCAGTTATCGGTTTGAACTTCCTGAAAACCACCGGAATCTTTATGTTACAGTTTAACTTAAAAACTGTGTTTTTCGTGGTTTCCAGTGGATTCGGATGATGCGATGGGAGGCAACACGAGCATCCTGTCCTCCCCACCGCCCCCAACGGCTGGTCCGCATGGGAAAGAGATCGGCAGCACCCCCCCTCAGTCCCCGTCTGTGTCCACGGCCCTCTCTGGAGCTGGGTACGATAAAGGCCACGGTCAGCTGTCAGCAAAAAGCTTCACGCTTTCATCTTCAGCTAAACTGTTTTTCTCGTTTTCCTCCCAAGTTCTCCGTGTTCGGGCAGCGAAGTGATGGGGCTGCAGGTGGACTACTGGACGTGGCAAGGCTCCGAGAAGAAGAAGGAGGGCGAGAAGAGAGACGTCGGGCTGAAGAACACCCTGAAGTGTAACTTCCGCTCGCTGCAGGTCAGCCGCCTGCCCTGCGGAGGGGAGCTCACTCCTCCGCCCAGCATGGCCATGACGGTGGTCACCAAGGAGAAGAACAAAAAGGGTACGCTTTAACAAACATGGCCGACGTTTGAGATGCAGCGCGATTGGATTTATGGATTTTACGCTCGTCTGAAATATAACTATACACTCGTTATATCAAAATGCAAGGAAAAATTGATGAAATTTAAAAATCAAACTCTTAGAGCTAAACACTAAGCAGAATACTAGCTAAAAGCTTAAAGAAGCAAAACAGTAGCTGAAAGATAAAAGCAGCAAAAGAGTAAGCTAAAAGCCTAACGTAGCAAAACGATAGTTAAAACATAAAAGAAGTAAAACACCGTTTGAAAAAATAACGTAGCCAAAGTCTAGCTAAAGGTAAATGGACGTAAATGCTAGCTAAAAGCAAAAAGTTGCTAAAGATTCGCTAAAAGTAGCAAAAATTTAAGTTTTGAAAGGCTAGCTAAAATTAACAAGTTTGCTAAATGCATTAAAAGATTAGCTAAAAGTGGCAAAATATTGTCACAAAAGCTGTTAAAGACTTTAAAAGTAAATGTAGCAAAATGCTAGCTCAAAGCAACAGAGGGCAAAAGTTTAGCTAAAAGTAGTAAAAGGCTAGATCAAGGCAGCAAAAGGTTAGCTAACAGGAGCTAAATGTGTTAAACCTTGCAACGGGTTAGCTAAAAGTAGCAAAGGGTTAGCTAAAAGCTAAAAGTTGCAAAACAATAGTTAAAACCTAAAAGAAGCAAAACTGTTAAAAAAAAAAAAAAGTAGCCAAAGTCTATCTAAAGGTAAATTGATGTAAATGCTAGCTAAAAAGCAAGAAGAGTCAGAGTTTCTTTTTTTGTCATTCACACCTCATGTGGTACATGTGGTGGAACTAAATTGTGTAAACAGGGTCCCAGTTACATCCAACAATAAAATGTAAAAGAAAAACTGTAATAAGATTTAAGATATGAACTAAGAAAAACATCAACTAAAAATATGCTAAACACTAACGGCATAAAAACAATACGCCGAAGAGCAGCACGAACATGCACAAAACGGAGCTTAAAATTAAGAAGTTGCTAAATTAAGAATTAAGAAGTTGCTAAAGATTAACAAAAAGTAGCTACATTTTTTTTAAGTTTCAAAAGGCTAGCTAAAATTAGCAAGTTTGCTAAATGTATTAATTCAATTCAGTTTATTTATATAGCGCCAAGTCACGACAGAAGTCATCTCAGGGCACAAGATTAGCTAAAAGTAGCAAAACTAGCAAAAGTTAAAAGTAGCAAAATTTTGTTTAAATCATAAAAGCAGTTAAAGACTCTTTAAAGGTAAATGTAGCAAAATGCTAGCTGAAAGCAAAAGAGGGCAAAAGGTTAGCTAAAAGTAGGAAAAGGCTAGCTCAAGGCAGTAAACAGTTAGCTAACGAGAGCTAAATGTTTGTTAAACGTTGCAAATATTAGCCAGAAGTAGCAGAATCACACAACCTCGCAAGAAATTATGTAAACTGATGCAACATCTGTGAGGTTTATTACATTTTTCTGCTCCTTTATAATCTTTGATCAACATCACAGACGACAACAAACTGTGGTTTTTAACTTTAAGCTGGGTTCTCACTGGGCGTTTTTTTTTTGTTGTTGTTGTTGATTGGTTCCAAATGGAGCCTCTGTGGTAATTTCTTTGCTCCAGCAGCAAACGTGAGACAGTTTGGAGACTCCTTTGAGAGCATCGTCCACCAAAGGGTCCCCAGCGAGATGCTGACTTTTAGCAGCACAGAAGGGAAGAAGCTCCCGGTCTGCAGAGGTTTAATAACAAAATCCTTCTTCCTCCTTTTCCCAGTGATTTTTCTCAGCAAGAAGCCGAAGGAGAAAGAGCTGGACTCTAAGAGCCAAGTGATCGACGGGATCAGCAGGTTGATCTGCACAGCGAAGCACCAGCACACCATGCTGAGAGGTGAAGCGCACACACACACACCTGTAAATCAAATGTGCACTGCCGCCTGCTGATGGTTTTACACACGACAGCCTCAGGAATACAGAAACGCTGGAATGACCTGCCTCTGCACAGTCTATAATAATAATAATAATAATAATAATAATAAAAATAATGATAATAAAAATAATAATAATAATAATAATAATAATAATAATAAAAATAATGATAATAAAAATAATAATAATAATAATAATAATAATAATGATGATGTCATCACTGTATGTTTCCATACAATGGTGAAATTAGCCTCTGTGTTTAACCCATCCTCCACCTTTGCTGACGAGATAAGAATTTGTGCCGCCATTTTGCTACGTGCTTCGTGGGCGTCTTTAGATACTGCCAGAATGGAAGCAGACCATAATATTACAGTTAATAAAAACTAAACTCGTTGTTTCACCGTCAGCTGTTTGAGTTATCAGAAAGTTTATTTCTTTATTGGCTGTCCGTTAAGATAGAAAAAAATGTTTAGATGCACTATTTAGCAATCTGCAAGAGTAATAAAACAGTGTAAAGTTTATAATTGTAATAGTTTTTGTGTTGTATTTTTGCTTTATTGTCCACCACTCCTTTAAAGCCTCTTCAGACTAGAGCAGGGCTCTTCAAGTGGAGGCCCGGGGGCCAAATCAGGCCCACAGGTGAACTCAGTTCGACCCACCAATGGGTTGATTTTAACTCGAACTAGATTTTAAACCATAAAACAAACTTAACTGACAACAACTGCTGGATGTTCGGCTCCTGAGCTCTGGGCTTTCAGTAGCTGTGGCCCCCTGAGAAATGTTGTTGAATTGGACCAGAGTCACTGAAAAGCAGGATGGTCGACATAACTGAAAAAATTCATCACTGAATAAAATGTTTTTTATGACGATCTGTTTTATATATTTAGCATAAATCTACACTAAGTTATGAATTAGTGTTTAGGCTAGACAAAAACTGAAGTGAGTGTTATCCTTCCTTCCTTGCTTCCATACTTACTTCCTTGCTTACTTCCTTGCTTCCTTACTCGCTTCCATACTTGCTTGCTTACTTACTTCCTTGCTTCCTTCCTTCCTTCCTTGCTTCCTTACTCGCTTCCATACTTGCTTACTTACTTACTTCCTTGTTTCCTTCCTTGCTTCCGTCCTTCCTTCCTTCCTTGCTTCCATACTTGCTTCTTTACTTCCTTCCTCCCTCCCTCACTCACTCAGCCACCCACTCACCTGCTTCTTCTTTTTTGTGTCACTGGTGCCCATATCCAGCAGTCATTGCGCAAGAGGCGGGGGACACCCTGGACAGGTCTCCAGTCCATCACAGGGACACATAGAGACAAATGAGATAAACAACCATTCACTCTCTCACCCACACCTTGGGACAATTTAGAGTTACCAGTCAGCCTAACATGCATGTTTTTGGTCTGTGGGAGGAAACTGGAGTACCCGGAGAAAACCCACGCAGCACGGAGAGAACATGCAAACTCCACCCAGAAGGCCCCCTGCATGGATTTGATCCAGCGACCTCCTTGCTTAGAGGCAACAGCTCTACCAACTGAGCCACCGTGTTATTGGGTGTTATATAATGTCTAATTATTTTCAGATTATGAGAAAAAAGGTTACCGTACGTTCTTCAAGTTTAATCTGTTAGTCTGTGTTTGTGGACCTGGTGACCGCAGCAGCACAACGCATCACTGCTCACTTACAGGTGGAGCACTTAGCAAGATGGCGGTCATGAAGCTCACGTAGCCCTTTTTTTTCTAAACGGCTGTTTTCAATCCCGTTTTCGTCCTCAGTTACTATCGATGGCGTGGAGTGGAACGACGTCAAGTTTTTCCAGCTCGCTGCTCAGTGGCCGACGCACGTGAAGCACTTCCCGGTGGGGATCTTCGGGTACACGAAGCCCATGTGACCCCACCCTCCTGACTCTCCGCTGCACTCGTCTCCCCCAGAGACTCCAGAGAATCGGAAGAAAAGCCGCCCGACCCCGGCAGAACCAGTTTTCCTGTGGAAATCTTACAGACTCACCACCACAAAGTTCATGTTCGTTTTGATGTTTTGGGTGTTGTTGGATGTTTTTCTTTCTTTTTTTTTTTTTAAACCACACTACAAAAAAGAACAAGTAATATTTTGTAAGAATTGTGCTGCCGCCTCGGAGGTGTTTTGAGATTTCTTTTGACAAATTGCCACATTTCAGTAATGGCAGCTGTGTTGCACTTTGTTTTTGTTAACATTTTATTATTTCTGTGAAATCCTACATTTGTTACTCTATAGATAACGGAGGCGCGTGACGGTGATGTGCAGTGACGTGTGTGTGTGCGCGCGTGTGTGAGATTGTTGTTGAAAGGTGGAATATTGCTGTGAATCTTGATGGAATCCTTTTCTTCTAACTCGGTTTTCTGAACTCGTCCCTTTATTCGCTCAAACGTGTCGGATTTTGCAGGAAGGAGGTTCTCTTCGCCTCGCCGCTTTAAAGCTCACTAAAAGTCGGGCGAGGTCTTGGAAGGTAGCTAAAACGAATGTAGCTGCAGCATCTCGTCGGCTCGTTCCACTTGGAGCTGGCGTTTTGATGTCGGTGTGCATTCAGGCTGGACAGAAACGACCACTTGCAGCAGGATGACGACTCGACTCCCAACAGCCGAATGCCAAATGTAACCACAGCTGCAGCTTCCGCCCGCGCTGTAGTTTGGCTTTGCAACGTCAGGCTGTAGCCGAAAATACAGACGCAGGTAAACGTGTTGGTGCCCTTCACGATAATCGTGGCGACGAGCCGTCTCGACAGTCCGAGAAACGTTGGTGCTCGTCGGCGTTTGCCGTTTTTGTTTCGTGGAGCCCTCCTGGGGTTTTGAGCTCGTTAGCGTTCGTATCGAGACGAGCGGCGCTGTCTGAAACCTTTAAACGGTTTCCTTTGATCTTTTTCTATCGTCTGCACCATCCGTCCGATCAACCTGGGGTCGCGTTGACTCTTGCGTCCACGTCCTGGGAGGTTGGCTACAGCCCCGTGAAGCTTATCCTTATTAATAACATTGGAAGCTGTGGTCGTTTAGTCTTTACCTTTAACATGGATATCTGTGATCTTCTTTCTGAGCTCCTCGGACGGAGTGTTGATTTTTCTGCTCCGTGTTCAGTGTCGTGACCAGAACCACCCGGGGGGCTGTTCCGTTCCCTTTAAATAGGCTCCGATACTACAACCCCGATTCCAACGGTTCGGTCGTTGTGTGAAACGTAAGTAAAAACAGAATGCAATGATTTGAAAACCTCACGAACCCATATTTTATTCACGATAAAACAAATTAAACGTACGGGGAGGAGAAATGTAATTTTGATGGCAGCAGCACAAATGTTTAAAGTTGTTCCGGTCCATGTTTTCGCTTTGAAGAATCTTCTTTTTAACATCAGTCTGTAAATTTTCAGGACCTGAGACCAGATGTGTAAGCTGCCCATGCTGGTGGCACTAATGCACCCCCATACCATCAGAGAAGCAGGCTTTTTGTTAACAGGCTGGATGGTTCCTCTCCTCTTTAATACAGACGATGAGACATTTGTTTATATAAAAAAATGTTTAGGGTTTGGATCGGTCTGACCTCAGAACAGTTCTGGACTTTACCTCGGTCCGTTTTGAATGAGCTCTGGTCCAGAGAAGACGGCAGTGGTTCTGTTTGGTGTTCACATCTGGCTTCTTCTTTGTCTGATAGAGCTTTAAGCAGCATCTGGATGAACTGTGCTTACAGGCAATGATCTGTGGAAGTGTTCACAAGTCCAGAACAGAACCAGACCTGGTTTTAATGCAGTGGCCCCTGAGGGCCCGAAGGTCACGACCATCAAATGTTGACCTTGAGCCTTTGAGCTCAGAGATTTCTGCAGATTCTTCTAATCTGTTGAGATTATGAACTGGAGATGATGGGTCTGTTTCACTAGTTTTAGACGCAGTTACTTAGACTGAACCTCTGCCCATCTTTACTTCTAAGAGATTAATTATTTTTAAAATGCTCTTTAGACCCAGTCCTCTTATCTGTTGTCAATTTACTTAAATACAAAACTTTCTAGCTGTTTCATATTCACACTAACAGCGTTTTGTTGTTCTTAGATCGACATTTTAAAGTTTTGATGCCTTCAAATTCAAAGTTAGCATTTTTTTCCCCGAAATGGGTTTACTTTGTTCCATCGTGGATAAAATATAGATGCGAGGTTTTTAAACTTGATTTTTGTTTACAACATTCGGACTGTTTCTTTTAGTTGGACCGTTTTTCAGGACGAACGAAGCACCGCTTCACTGAGCTGCGAGGGCACCGACGCGTTTCTCCCGGCGCCGCTCGGTGTCGACGTTCCTGCAGTAAATGTTGAAACTGTGCAGTGATGTGCCAAAGCGAGGGATCGTTTTAATCACGCGAGCTCCTGCTTTATTTAGTGCGCGATACTAAACGCTAAAACTGTGCTTTAACGTGTCTGTGGTCCCTGTGGAGATCAGTGTTATTCTTACCGAGTTACTTTCACGTATTTACTCGTCAACACTCCGTATTTGGCCAAATATAAACGTATTAAACAGAATATTGGTGTAAATTCTAACCGAGCGACGAGCTCGTTTTGAGTAGAGCTTCACTGTGGCTAACGAGGTTTATTGTTGCATGGGGGGGGGGGGTTAAAGTTTGTGCGACTCGAAGCTTGGGCCCGAGCGTGGAGCAGACGCCCGAGTCGTGTCCGTGTTCTCCGCTCGATGGTTCTCGTGCAGGGAAACCGTTTCGACAAAGGGTTGAGTTTTATAAAATGGGAAAGTTTTGATAGATGGGCTTTTTAAATACTGTACATAAAATATTTACTACATATAACCATTGTGAACTACCACCCAACTTCCACTAATGCCGAAAGCACAAACGGTGACCCCCTTCATCTCGACGTAAATGCCAAATCTCCAGAACGACGACACTAGCGAGTACTTCTCACAAGTTTCCCTCTTCGTGATGCACTTTCATGTGGTTCGATAGTAGCTCAGATCAGGACACTTTAATTCCGTCTTAACGTGAGATGTAAACCACTACATGTCAAAAGAACTCTTCTCCCCCCCCTTTTTTTTTTTGCAGGCGGCTATAATAACGGGTTTAGGCGCCCCGAGGTCAGAAAAACCGTCGAGGCTTTCTCGTGTTTTGCCACTTCGTGTCAGTTTCACGTGTTTTCATCTCTCGGGCAGAGCTGTTCGAGGGAGCTGGCCAATGAAATCCCTGATCAATGTATTTGTGTGGCCCCCCCCTTAAATTCAGAGGTAGCATGTGGGTGTTGTACAAGGCTGGATCAATGAGCAGGCACGTTGTCAGTGATTTATAAAAAAATAAACAGTGTTAAAGCTTATTTTCCTGGTCATAGTACGACGTGACGCCGTCTCATTGCTCCCGTTACTTGAAACGCCGCCCGGTGTCTTTGCACAAACCCTATTTTAGACGACATGACAGTATTTTTAAATTCACCACTAAGAAAATATGGGTTACTCTGCATGTTTTACTATAGATGTAAATATGTTTTGAATTTTTATATTTTTTTTTCTTTCCATGCTCTCACAAGCAGTTGTCTTTAATAAAAGTTTTTAATCTTCTGTACAAACAACTCGTCTTTTATTCCAACAACCAAAGCATCACGAGCGGCGTCACTTGGTGGAGCTCGTGGGCAGGTTGACGTAACTTTTCATGGGAGGCAGCGGTTTGATCTTCCTTCCTGCCCAGCCACCTTTCTTCTTCCACAAGCCGCTCGACGGGCGCACGCCGAACCACCGGTTGCGGCCGGCTTTGCCGATGTGCTGTTTGTTGTGGTCTACGTTGGAGACGCGTCCCACCGTGACCATGCAGGTGTCCCGCACCTGTCCACCAAAACGGGCAGCATTTTTATTGCAACATTTCTGGACACGAACACGTTCTGGTGAATAGTTTTTTTACGTTTTGTATTTGACTCACCTGAACCTGCTGCTTTGACGGAAGCTGAACGATTGCCGTTCCGTTTATTTTACGGAGCAAAACGCCATTCGTGCCTGAAATCCAATCAAAACGCAAATTTTACATCCAGCGGTTAAGAGACCGAATCTTAGTTCCCCAAACTGGAGGAAATGCAGCATAAACACTGAATGAATGCTGAAGAGATCTGAAACTAAAGTAACTAAACACTAACTGAAAGTAGTAAAAGACTAGCTAAAAGTTAAAGCTGAAATAAGTTAAAAGGTAGCTATAACAGCAAAATCCTTGCTAAAAGCAGTGGAAGGTTAACTAAGAACTCAAAGGTGCACAATGCTAGCAATAAGTAGCAAAAAAGTTAAAAGGTGCAAAACAGTAACGGCAGCGCCTAGCTTAATTAAAGCTAAAAATAGCATCAAAGCTAGTTAAAAGCTAAAATGGCAAAGTTCTAGATAAAATGGCAAATGGTTAACTGAAAGAAGTAAAAGGCTTAAATGTAGCTGAACGACACACTGAAGGTAGCAAAAAGCTAGGAGCTAGATAAAATTAGCAAACGGCTACCTAGACACTAAAAGAAGCATAAGAAAAACAAAAGTAATTTGCTGAAACGGATTTTAAAGAGAACGACGTTGAAGTAATTTCCTTGCATGGGTAAAATATTTGTAAGTAGTTATTTTTTTGGAGAAAGTATAAAAGTTACAAAAATCCGAAGTCTTTGCACCTGAACGAGCTGAATGTTTTGGTGTAAACAGTTAAAAAAGTTTTAAGTATGTAGACACTGAACATTAGTTTTAGTTCAAGAGTTACCTGCAGCCCGTATGAACTCTGACCCCTTCATGGGTTGGAGCTCCAGGTTGTTCACCAGCGTCCCCACAGGAAGAGCCCCCAGTGGGTAGGCGTCCCCCTCATTGGCTGCCACTGAAAGAAAAACCATTTAAGACGACCCACATGACCTCCTGTCCTCTGACTACAGCTTTTGGGGACAGTGATGATCTGGGGAGTTTCCAACCTGCCATGCGTCCGATAACAGCAGATGTTTTAATGAGGTCTCCGGCCTGCATGTTCTCTGTAGCAATGATCCATCTTTTGCGGTTCCCGCCTGCTATCAGGGCAATGTCAGCCGACCTGTTGACGAAGCACTTCTTGAGAATAATGTTTCATCTTCCACGAGTTCATTTGACAGGACAAAAGTTCTCGTCTCACCTGCACGGGTCGTATCGCACCTCAACCACCTTCTCTTCGAAAGGTCGGTCCTCTTTGCCGGGTTCGTAACGCAGCCGTTGGAAGTCTATCCATCTGTACCTTTGTTTGTGGCCGCCACCGATTCCACGGATTTTTATCCTTCCTACGAGGCAGAAAGACAAATAAGAATCACAGAGTTCTACAAACAAATACGTCTCGGAACGATGAAGGAGCAAGATGTTTGAGAGCTCAAGCATGTTCATTACTCCACCATTAAAGGAGGGCATCCTGCCCTGTCATTAGAACTGAGCGCCCGGCCTACCCAAACCCCCCCGGCAGACAACAACTGGCTTTAGTAATGTACTGCTCCGCTGCCCACCGTCCCCCAGCCAACAGTCAAAACATCCCGTTGACGAGGCCGGTAGTGCAGCAGAAACACTGTTACGGAGTCATCTCTTGGTTTATAAATGACAGATATGAAACAAAGATGGTTTCTTCATTACGTTGATTAGTTTTCTATAGTAGATTTTTACCTTTTAATGCCTTTCAAAAACAACTTTATATGCTAAAAATGTGTCAGTCGGCTTTTTTTTTTTTTTATAAATTTCTAATTATGCAATTCTTTATTCTATCATTTCTGTACGTGATTAAAACGAGTCTTCACATTAGAAATCGACATCGTTATCCTTTAGTCCTGTGTCCAAACTACAACTCCTCCACCAGCTTCACCTGTGTGATCTCTGCCTCCGGTTTTGTTTATCCCTATCGGCTTTATGGTGTACTTCTTCTTCTCCTTCCAGTTCACCCTGTTCAGTTCCAGAGAGGCTGTGGTGAGGAAACCTCTGCACTGGCCGACTGTCCCGGGTCCCAGAGTTCCCAGCTTCAGCTGAGAGACCACCTGTAAATATGTATAAATACAAAAAGAGACACTCCTACTGACTGCAATGATGTGACTCAGTTCAGTGAATACGACTGGGGGGGTGTTACCTGCGAGGAGAGCAAAGCAGGCTGGGAGAGAGTCAGGGAACGCAGTGCTCGAGTTAAATGAAACACCGCCATGATGAGATCCTGCAGACAGAGAGGGAAGGGATGGGTGGGTTAGAAACAAACCAATAAGACGCCTTCATTATTATCACAACAAAACAACTCATGAATGCTTTCCAAAATCCAGTCCACTACCATTATGGTCTGTTCTAACTGCTGGACTAGAGAGAAATGAAGGAGTTTCAGAAACAAAACCAGACCTCCCTGTAGTCACTAGGCTGCTGAACACCAAATGTAAATGATTTATCTAACAAACAGAATGATTCCAACTAAACCAGTCTCAAACTGGAAATGTAAAATAGTGGATACATGTGCAAATGTGTATATTACTGTAAAGAATTTGTATTGGAAATGTCCTTGTTTTGACTGCTTTTAAATCCATTTTTCGACATCTGCATCAATAATTTGTTCTGTTTACTTTAAATGATTAATTGCAGGGCTTTAAATTCTGTGCTAAAACAATCTGATTAGAATTGCCAACAAAACCATTAAAGAAAAGCAGATAAAAAAAATAATCCAAATGTATATTATGCATTGTTGACATTTCGGTTGTCCATTTTACATTTCAGCCACCTCTTTTTCGGTCCTAACTATATTCTGACTCGTAAAATAAACATTCAGAAGTTAAAATAGCCTATTACACTTGTATTTATTTATTTATTTATTGTCTTTACTGAACGTTTATCACGGCGTCGTTCGAAAACAGTGTTTTATTAGCATCAGGACAATTTAATTTAATGCGGCTCAACGCTCTGTCCAAGCTTTTTGTGAACATAACCGGCTTTATTTAAAGCGTGGACGTTGAGTTAAACCTACGAAGAATGTAAAAAATAATACAAACACCAAACTAACCTGACTATTTCACTTATTTCATTACGAGTATTTCACCGCCGTCCTTCACACAGTCCCGCACGCAACGTCGCACAATGATGACGTATGCATTTCCTTCCCAGAGGAAATACTTTTTCCCCCAAGAGGAAGTACTTACGTCTAAAAATTAACATTTCATTGTATGTTCACGCCACTTTTATTTGTTTTGTTCATATTACACGATAACATGGAGTTTTACATTGTCATTGTTAAAATATTAGATAATGTGCTCTGTTAGTTAACGCTAATGCTAATTAACTGTACGCCTGTAGGTGGCAGTATTGCTCTGCTGCAGATTCAACATCGAAGGAAATTACCAACTTTCTGACTGGACAATCTACCGGTAAATATAGTAATTGTTGTATTTATCTCAAATGTTGGACTTGTTTCTTTCCTGCTAAAATTTTTAATATCTGCTATAATATTTATATATAAATTCTTAGAAAGCTTTAGCAATCACACTGTGTACATTAGTGTTATTGGTGAAAGACTCAAGAATAACTTAAAAATATCTAATATTTGTATTGAATGCTTTTTGAACTTAAAAATATATTTTGTCCTTCTTGGTTTCCTTTGTAATGCAAAAGGAGCTTATTTTAACAATGACGTAATCCTGATTCTGCCATTATTTTATTTGTTAATCATTAAAAATTATATAAACCATATGCACAAGAGTGTAAAGACCTGACAAAATGATCAAAACACTCCACAATATAAAATATATATATATATTTGTTCAGAAACATTGGCTATATATCTGATTTATGTCGCTGATAGCTGCCTGAAAGGCATCAAATATTTCTATGTGTAACAATTCCACAGTTCAAGTCCAATAATATCTGTATTTGCATGTTTCTCTTCAGTGCCCTGAGACAACTTCTGTTGTGACTTGGCGCTATATAAATAAACTGAATTGAATAATCTGTCTAAATTTTACACTTTAAAATAAAAAAAAACTTGTTGCAACTTATCACCAAGACACGTTGAAATGTAGAAGGTTCCCTGGAGAGCCTAATGATACTGATTCAGCTGTAGTCAATCCAGGGTACGAGAAGTTGAAATTTGGTAAACGTTATTTTGCATCTTTCATTCTACCTTTATCTATACAGGTTAGTCCCATTGAGCCCCGGGGACTTATTTACAAGAGAGACCTGAAGACTCTTCATGGTCGTTTGTAGACTTTGTGGTATATTTGTGATTGATCGCATGTAATTTTATCGGCACTCATTTCTCCACCAGCTCATGATCTGTCCATCCCTTCTCAGTGTGTGGCTGTGTTTGACCACTTTGAGCCCATCTCTCTGTCCTCTCTGGAGCAGGTACTGTGCAGCATGAAGCCATCTGGTTCCCCCTTTGATGTGGTCCCCCCTCGACTGCTAAAGGAAGTTTTTCCTACCCTGGGTCTTTTATTCTCGCTATTCTGAATAGCAGTTTATCCTCAGGTGTGGTGCCAAAGACTTTTAAACATGCTGCTGTCCAGCCCCTCCTGAAAAAACCTAACCTTGACCCCTCAGTCATGTCCAACTTCCGGCCTGTCTCCAGACTCCCATTCACCTCTAAACTACTGGAAAAAATTGTGGAGTCTCAGTTGAAACAGTTTTTGGGGGATCACGCTATCCTTGAGTTATTCCAATCTGGCTTCAAATCTCTCCATAGCACTGAAACTGCTCTACTGAAGGTTTTTAATGACATTTTCATATCCACAGACGCAGGTGATTCTGTGCTGCTTGTCCTATTGGACCTTACATCTGCTTTTGACACCATCGACCACAATATCCTCATTTCTAGACTGGAGCAGTGGGTGGGCATCACAGGGTCAGCCCTTAAATGGTTTGGGTCCTACCTCTCTGACAGAACCTTCTGTGTCAATATCAAAGAT